AGTTATGGCTTAGATAACTACACATGAACTTTTAACCTATGATGCTACTCACCAAACGATACAGATCATGAATTTTATAAGTTAGATTACTTTTAAGTCAAAAGCAGAATATAAACTCCATGATTGAAGGGAATATGTCTGTCATCTGTGTTGCCATATTCTTATGCCAATAACAATTCTTAGTATTTATTAATATTTTATAAATTTCTGTTGAATTGGAGAGGACTTCATGCTAAAGAAGTTACATTTTGGAGTGAGTATTGATGAAAAGTTACATCTTTTCCTCCTCTTTCTAACTTTGTTTGAGTTCATTTTGCATCTTTACCATTTTTTCAGAACAGGTTTATTGGGACGTAATTTGCATATTGTATAATTCAATAGTTCAGTCATTCAATCATGTAACAGAGAATTGCGTGATCACCACAACGTCAATTTTAGAGCATTTCTCCCTCCCCGCCCCCCCATACTTAAATCACCTTTAAGATGATTTATGCGATCACAATCCATTCTAGTGCTCCCTTCTTCGTTAGTCACTCTGGAAATCTCCTTTTTCTCCCTGTCTGCACCCACCACAGACACAGCTGTGTTCCCTATATCCCCTTGTATCGATTATTGTCATTTTGAAGCCACTCCTCCTATGCTTCACAGCTGGGAGACCCAACAGAAAACAATAGCAAACGAAACCGCGCTAAAATGGTAAAGGTGAAAACATAATAGTACACTGACAAAAATACTAGTAATGCGTAAGAAGGAAAAGACCACCAACAGTCACCAAAAAGTCAGAGAAGCAATCTCTGTCATCATGGAACCAGTAAGAAATACTTGCACCCAGAACAAATTCAAGTTGCATCCATAGGGTGCAAGTGTCCAGTGGGATCTGCATCACTAGGATTGCTATGGTGTCTACTGGGTAGTAAGGCTGATGGAGACTATTATTATTTTAACTTGATCCTATCTGCACTTGAAACATCTTGTATCTAATTTATGTTTGTTTCAGATATTAAAAATGTTAGCAAGATTATTTTTCATATTTTAGCCAACTTGACCTAAAGTTTATTTTCATAGATGAAACGTAGGTTAAAACAATGATAATAAAATAGGATTTGGCTATGAATGAGGGGCGCAACTGCTCCATCCTTGGGTTCTCTTGAGCATCTGCTCGTGTGGCTGAGGAGTCTGGATTATGGTGAGGTGAAGAATACTAACCGCATCATGGGCCACCAGGAGAACACACAATTGTATACGGAACGAAATACAGTACAGCCAGAATGTCCCTTAGAGCAAGGATGGCAATACTTGGTCTCACATATTTTGAACATGTTGTCAGAGAATTAGCCAGAGAGTGGAAGACCCTGCAGAGATGGCACTCCGCAACAGCCAGCCGGGCAGGCTTCAGCGTGTGACAGTGTGGCTAGGACAGGATCGAGCAGCTTGTCATTGTGTGCGGTGATGCATAGGTCACCGGGAGTCAGAACTGAATCAATGGCATCTAACAATACAAGCTGCCTACATTTTTACTTTGAATTTTATTGTGACTAGTCTTTCTTTTATGTGCACACATGAAATTTACCTCCTGTTCCTTAATACGCTTATAAAATGTCACACAGCCTTTTTGGAAGTCTCTCTTAAGGAGCCTTTTCAGAGCACCACCATCTTCTTTCCTTTTTCAAGCTGTCTGTACTGTGAAGTCACCATGTCCCCGGCACTATTCTATGTGTCCGGGCCAAGAGGACAGCAGTGAACAACGATGACGAAGTGCAGACCTCAAAGAAGACGCATGCCCGTGGGCAAGGCAGACTTTAGCTAACAAATCAGTGAGCATAATGTGTCTGATAGTGATAGAATCTATGGAGAAAAAGAATGGAGTGTACTGAACATATAATATCATGGCGCAGTAGTTTTTGTAGACTAGTAAAACAGGAAGTGTAAATTTGAAATAGAGTTATGCAAATTCAAGTTGTACAGGCTTCTGTTCTTGTTGGGTCCACAACTGACATTCATGGCAGTGTTACCAAGAGGAGGCTCTGAGTTTCAAGGCTACCCTCGGTTCCTGGATGCTTGTCCAGCTCTCGAGAAAAAACCAGGTGAGGGAAAAAGTTCAAAGACAGGTTTGAACATAGAGTCAGCTTCCTGAAGAGGGATACTTTGGGAAAGAAATCCAAAGGCCCCTTAGAAGACTTGGCAAAAAGTCAAGTTGATCGTTTTATTTTGCTAATGGTGGACCTCCCACCATAGGTTGACTTTCTGGCTGGTCTTTTGCAATTGGCTGATCCTCTTAAGTCCCCATCCCTTTCAGGTATGCACATTCTGGGGCCACAGCACCCAGACTTAATACTGTGCTCATGTCTCAAACTAAACGCAAGAGTCTACTCAGCCATTGCAGACTTGGTTTGAACAACTTACCGTGGCTTTCTTCTCCCAGCTGTCATTACCTCCAGTGTCTTGGGTCTCTACGCATTGATAAGGGAACAGATGTTATTCTGCCCTACCCCTTCCTTAGTGCTAGCGAGGTCTGTGTGTGTAGCCTGTCTCTGGGTCTCTTTTTACACTCAAGATCCCTGCCATTTTCCTGCTGCTATCACTTTACCTTCCCTTGCCAGTCTCTTAGTAGCTAATGGAAGCAACAGTCAGGAAAGCAAAGGGCATTTGCATTAGGTGAATCTGCTGCACAAAACCTCTTTAAAGTTCAAGACTTGTTAACAAAGAAAAATATCACTTCAGAACTAAGGCAACACTGACTTAAGTCCTGGTGTTTCAATTGCTTTATATATGTGTGAAAATTGGACAATGAATAAAGAAGACCAGAGAGCTGAGGCCTCTGAATTATGATGCTTGTGAAGACTATTGCAACTAGCACAGGCTGCCAGAGAACAAACAGATCTGTCCTGGAAGAAGCATAGCCTGAGTTTCCTTGGAAGCCTAGATGGTGAGGCTCTGGCTCATGTGCTCTGGAGACATTATCAGGAGATGTCTGGGGAAGGACATCCTGCTTATTAAAGTAGAGCGTCATCGAATTAGTGGAATATTATCATAAACGACTGAAACAAGAGGCTGCGACAATAGGCCCAGACATAACCCCAATGGAGAGAATTGGGCGACAGAGTCCAGTTTTCTGGAGTCAAAACTGACTCAATAGTACCCAATAACAGCAATGGTACAGATATCTAGTGGAAGAATATTCTAGAATAAATGAAACGTAATATACATCACCTAAAGTTGGAGATTATTGGGTATATTCCAGAAACAGGTCGAATAATTTGAATAGAGATGTCTGACTTAGGGGAAAAGGGAAACCTCTCAGGGGAGAGAGTTTGGGGATGAGTGACAGATAATGGAGTCATGGGGAAGAACTCTGATCTTATCTGTCATAAGATAGGCACTCATTAGAGGGTGGGATGCTAATCAGTTTCTTAAAGGACTGTAGCACCTATGGGAAGAAAAGTTTCATGAGGGTAGAATAGATGGGGCACAGGTCCAAGTTGGGAGACCTGAGTAAAAGTTATTGCAATATTTCAGGCATGAGTAAATGGTGGCTTGAATTAGAATATAAATAGTTCAGGTTCTGAGCATGTAATATACTTGATAACTTAATGAAGTATTGACGAAGTAGTGTGAGAAAAAAGTGAGCAAGGATAAACAGGTTGCTCGTCTAGGAATCAAGTGTACTATCTCCCGTACCCCCCGCGACCTAGAGACTTGTCGCAGAGAAGACTGACAAAGAAGCATGGTTCAGTAGAAAATTCAAAATGTGTTTTTTGTGTCTCAAGGTGGTTTTCTTTTATACCCTAGTGAAGATAGAAATCAGGTAGTTGGATATATGGGTTTGACATATACGGGAAGAGAACAGGACAGGGCGTTATGCTTAATAATGTTTAATTGATTGACTCCTCCTTTCAATATGAAAACATGTTTTGGAAACCACTTTCTGTTTTGCACAATTGGAAAATCAGACAAATCCGTATTTACACCCTGCTTCAATGAGTTGTCGATCTGATTGACAGTGGCTAAGAACAGGGGCTGCTTGAAAGTTTTCCCAAATAGGTAAAAGAATTCAAACTTCATTTCAGTTCAAATAACCCCAAAACTTACTGATAAATGGCTTTATTATACTAATTGCTCTTTCTTATTTCCATAGTCTGTCACTGTGCCAGTGGGAAATTATATTGTTCTTAAAGAATTGGTTCTTCAAGTGGTCATGGAGGTCACAACACAAAAACTTACTCAGTTGGTGGGAAATTTATTATTTAATGATTTGTCCCCAGTGACATTCTGGTGGCTGTATTTAAAATCATTGCTCTGTAATTGCTAGCCTTTATGCAAATGCATGCATATATATTTCATTTATAAACTCTAGACATATTTTAATTCAAATATTCAAAAGCACCATTATTTAAAAATGATGATAGCATAGCACCATACTTCAAGTATATTTAAGTCCATTTATAAAATAAGATCTTTAAAAATAATGTAAGGGGTTTGTATCTGACATTTGGGAAACTATTTAGTAACTCAGAAGGAATAATTGGATGATAAGGCAATTTAAAGTCTTTATACATTTTGAATGACCTTATGCTTAAAACACCCTTGACATATTTGAAATGCACTTACGTTTCTTCCCATCTTCTCTCTAATCTGAGACTTTGTTGGGTTCACTATCCTTGGTAGTGGTATGTTTGTGAAGACAAGAGTTCTGGTACAATAATGCTTGGTGTGATACCAAGATTGAAACGTCATGGAAACAAAGACTTAATGAGTAAGAAAGTGATGAAAAAACAATCAAAGATATGGTAGGGAATTAGTACAAATTGTTCAGATAAGTATTTTTAAGTCTTTTAACTAAAATTCAGATTTTGCGTGCTTCAATATTTTCTTACTATTTATTATTTTGAAAAACACTTCTACTCTAGCACATCGAGGACAACAGAGAAAATACTCTTAAATGATAATCTATTGCATGTATAATTACTTTTATAATGTATGCATTTTCTTCTTATCCATAGAAAATGATACGATCTACTGGACAGACATGGGCTTCAATAAAATTAGCCGAGCTAAGCGGGACCAGACGTGGAAAGAGGATATCATTACCAATGGCTTGGGAAGAGTGGAAGAGATAGCTGTTGACTGGATTTCTGGTATCATCCATGATTTCTTGTTTTGTGTTGTTTTCTTTAAAACCTATTTTTGAAGTAGCTTCATTTGCTTTGTAAAAGTTATTTTGCAGTCATAAACATTTTTTCCACTTATAATCACAGGAATAATGTTTTTTGCTTTAGGGTTAACTTTTTGTACCACTTTTGAACCTTCAGATAAGTGTTTTGATGAAGTATGTATGAAGTATGAAGTTTTATAACATTATGTAACGTTAACAGCCCGAATCTCTTGTAATCGCCACAAGGCAGATAAAATAAAAACTTCAAACTTCTCAGTACTGAAATGGGTAGAAAGTTCAAATTGATCACTTCTTGAGGTGGGAGAAATTTTAACTTATTTTTAACATATAAATATGTCATACAGTTAAAATCAGAGATGTGAGATATTAGCATTGGGAGTACTTGAATATTAATTATACACAGATTTCAGCTTTAGAAATAAACACATGAAAAAAGAATAGAGGAAGTAATTTATGTTTCAAAAGTGACATGACTGATAAGAATTGCATGTTTATCCTAAACTAATAAGTTATGTTCAGGTTCACAACTATATCATAAACACTTTTTTATCTCCCAGGTAACATATATTGGACAGATCATGGCTTCAACTTAATTGAAGTTGCAAGACTTAATGGCTCTTTCCGTTATGTAATTATTTCCCAAGGCCTGGATCAACCAAGATCTATAGCAGTGCACCCAGAGAAAGGGTAATTTTAAGATTTATATATATCGGTTGTATTTTAAATAAGGTTTCTTGGGTCCTGAGGGAAAATAAGCAACAACCCAAACTCCAGTTCATATTTAACTATAGCTATAACACACAAAAATAACTAAAAATACCATGCCTAAATAGAAGAAAGGTTCATTTTCACCTTGCTTTAGTATATGTATGTGTATATCAAATGGAGTCACACCTAGTATGCAGTGCTTTAATGTGTGTGCAGCTCCCCTTGCGTTCCCTAGCAGCTTTCTGCAGTCTCGGTTTAAAACTCTACCTTCAGACTGCGTATACAATAGATACTTGCTTATTTACTGAATGAATGAAACAACTATTTGATAGGAAAACTCATTCCTCAGTGTTTTTAAAGCTTCAAGTGCCACGCACATGTCTATGCTTGCCAAATCTATCGGTCTATCTCAAGCTTTTCCTTTGTGTTTGGAATAAGTATCTTTGCCTACCTTGACATTTTCCTTTGGATATTTCATGAGAACCCAAACTTTATTTATCTAAAGTGAAAATGAGTTTAATCTACCATCATATTCTGCTGATTTTTTCCCTCTAAACACATTCTACACATCTGTCTCTCATTTTCTTTACTTAAGTAATTTGTGTAAATGTCCATTTTTATTCATCTGCTTACGAGCTTTATTTTTTCAGACTAGATAATTGCTCTATTATTTACTACACTTTAATTCTGTAAAGGGAAGGGGTAGGTATGATTAGTATAATTCTCTATCCTAACCAAACAGTGGTTGGTGGAGAATAAATATCTGACTGATCAACTCTTTTAAACAGTAGTATATAAGTATCTTATATTTTATATTTTAAAGCTTTATATATAAAAAACCACCTCACTGTTATCAAGTTAATGCTGATCCATAGTGATCCTATAGGTCAGGGTAGAATTGTCCCTTTGAGTTCACAACATTGTAACTCATTGCAGGAGTAGAAAGCCCTCTATTGCTCATGGCGTGCCTGATGGTTTTTAACTGCTAACTTTTCAGATCGCAGCCCCAACCCCATGAATCCAACATTACTTATCATCGTTTGGTTTCAAAGACCAGGTCCTTATCAGAAAATTAGCATTAAGCAAAAAATGGAGTATGACTACATTATTATAGAACTGCTAAATTAGATCATTATGTAACTGCCAACCCCCCAGACCATGGTCCTGTCAAGATGACACAAACCTTCACCACCACAGCCAGCGTTTTCTCACGTCGCACCTCAGCGTCTGTATGTCATTAATCTGCAAAATAGTTGGAGAGTAGGCCTTCTGAAAATGGGGACTGTCAAATATCAAGTCAGGTCTTGGTTCTTAAGTTCGTACTTTAATTGACCTGTTTTTCACAAAGGAAGCATTTTATGTTAATGCTGATATGTGCATTATGGAGTAGAAGAAAGGCAACTTCTAGTGATCACCCAAAGATGTGTTAAATAAACAAATAAAAGCAACAATGGCTTAATGTAGCACCACCTTTATCTGAAATACCAAAGATGGTACCAAGAAAATCTCCCACTTTGCCTTTTATGAAATGTGTGTTAGTCATGTTCTCTCCAATATCAGCGCTTGCTTTATTTTCTTGCCATATGTTAGTTGCATAAATCAGATTATCAACTCACTCACTGCCATCGAGACAATGCCAACTCATAGTGAACCTATAGGGCATGGTAGAACTACAATTTTGAATTTCCATGACTGTAACTGTTTACCAGGGTGGGAAGCCCTGCCATTCTCCCAGGGGGGCAACCGATGGTTTGAACTGCTGACCTGATGGATCACAGCCCCATATGCTAGCAGAAGAAAAAAAGGAGAAAGAAAAAATGCTAAAAAGTATTGCATTTCAAACTAAGACTAGAATGTAAAATTTAAAATAGGTGTTCTTTAGGAATACTCTTATATACAAGCAACACGTTTAGCTACAATGTATTAATAGAAAAGAGCTTTCTAATCTTCAAGTAAAAAGAAGCCTGGAAGTACATGGTTGCCACTAATGACTCAATTACTCCACCATCTTCCTATTTCACTAAACCACCATCTGTGTCTGAGTAAATACTGTCCTTACACTAATGTAGCGAGAGTCCTCATTATTGCAACATGCTTGATACAAACATATCAAGAGTCAACACCTCTGCTTTCAAGGAAGAAAAAAAGGAGGATAGGAAGAGAGAAACCGTTTCTTGTAAGGCTGTTTTCTAATTTGAGATGAGAAAGCCCTGACAATTCAGAGAGTTTCATTTGAGATGAGAAAACCCTTAGTAGCTCTTTTCTCTCTGTAGCCAATAAATTGCACGCCCACCCCTAGATCAAAAAGTAGCCCAAAGGTAGAAGTTTTCTTGATTTATTTAAACAAGTTAAAATTCATCATCAAGAGCAACAGGTTAGATCCAGGGTAATTTAACAATGTCTATTTCTGCTACAAGAGAACATCTTAGAGCCTGGATTTCAACGTGACAATATGAGGCAAAAGAAAGCTAACTTTTTCTATTATTTTCCCTGCCTGTCCCAATTCAATTTCCTGTATTGCATTTTATTTTTCTTGCATTTATTTTTCTCTTTGACCTCTTCATGGTAAGGTTCCCTAGAACTCAATCATTGGTGTTATTCTTTACTTTATTGGTATTCCTTTATTTGTTGATCTTATCCCATTAAGTGTTCAAAGATTTCAAAATGTTTATCCCCAGACTTGAATTTCTTCTGAAAATCTAGGTTTTCATATGCAACTGGATATTCACTGTGTTCATTTGCAGCTTGCATTTCTCAAAATGACTACCAAAACTATCTCCCATCCCACATTATCTTCTTACAATGTGACCTTAACACTTCTCTCATAATCAAAACCTCCAAACCAGAACTGAACTCACTGCCATCAAGTCCACTCAGACTGACTCAAAGCAGCACCAGGGCACACAGCAAAAGGACTCTGTGGATCTCCATGTTTGTGAATCTTGACTCCCGTCCCTCTCGAGTGGAGCGTCTGGTGGGTTTGAATTTCAGACCTTGTGGTTAGCAAATCAACACATAACCCATACCACCACCAGAATTCTTCCCTCCACTGGAATTTTAATAAATAATTAACTTTTTTCCCCTGACTTTCTTTTTTAAAAAAAATCATTTTATTAAGGGCTCATACAACTCTTATCACAATCCA